TGCACGGTTTTTCTTTGGGCAAATTACTAAAGCAGTTGTTTAGTAATGTTTTTAAAAATCAGGTTTATACTTTATTTAATCAAAAATCAGGTTTTAATTTCACAATTAATATTAATAATAATATTTTAAATTAAATTCAATATATACCCACCCCTACCCCCCAAATTTCAATCCAATTCCCAAATCCTACTCCCCCCATCTCCTCCTCCCTTCCGTCTTTTTCTCTCTCTTCCATCTCTTTTCTGTCATTTCTTCCCTCCGTCTTCCCTCAATTTGCTGCGAATCGCTGCTGCTGCACGTCGCGGCAGCAACGCAAGACACTGCTGTGAATCACTGCTATGGGTGTGCAGCTCGCAGCGTCGCGACACTGTGTGGCTGTGGCGGGCGGTGGATGTGTCTTGGGTTTTCGATGCGGTGGTGTGTGCGGTGGAGGTTTTCGTCCGGCAGAGAACAAATAGCAGACTGCTTTTTTTGTTGTGAGTTTGCTGTCGGTTTTTGTGGTGCGGTCGATTTTTGTTATTGTTGTGGCGATGGTTATGTGGTGTTGTGGCGGGTCGACGGCGGTGGTGGTGTTTTTCTTGGTGTGGTGGTGCAGGCGACGCTGGGATGGTTGTTTTTTGTTGTTATTATGGCAGTGTTTGTGGTGGTGCTGTTCAGGCAGCTACGGTGGTGGTGGTTGGTGGTGTTATTGTTGGTGGGTATTTTAGGGATTACGGTCGGTGACGGATGGGACGAAGTGTCTGTGACCAACTATTTGGTCGTTCTGTGACATGTGACCAAGTATTGTTGGTGTATTGGGATTGGGAGACAGGTGCAGCGGATGGGACAAAGTGTCTGTGACCATCTATTTGGTCCATCTGTGACCTGTGACCAAGTATTGGTGATGTACGAGGATTGGGGGACAGGTGTTTGGGTGTATGTGACCAATTATATCGATTTGTGACCAAGTATTGGTGGTGCACTGGGATGGGGGACGGATGTTTGGGTGTATGTGACCATCATATGGTAACTGTGACCTTAAAATTCGTTACTCTGTGACTAAAAATATAATCTGTGACCAACAAATATGGAATAATTTTTTTCAAATTGTGACCAATTAAAAATTTGTGACCTATAATTTTTTTATCAATGACCAATGAAGTCAATTGTGACCCACAATTTTTTTTTGATTTGTGATCTTGAAATAATCTGTAACCAATTAATTTGATAAGTTTTTACTGAAAATTAATTTTTTAACTAATTAATAAGATATATGTGACTAAATTACATAATTAAATAATTAATTAATAAAAAGTAAAAAGCTGATTTTTGCAATTTTAAAACTTTAGCACCCGATTTTTGGNTAGTTCACACTTTGGTCCCTAAATAATATAAACTAATAAATTTGGTCCTTAGATATTCAACTTCTCACTATAAGGTCCAAATTTCAAATATTAACCACTATAACGAATTTTCGGGGTGTTACATTAGCCCCTGTTTAACAATCATTAAAAAGAGTTTTTTTTTGGGAAAAATGAGTTTTGAAATAGTGATTTTTAGAGAATGTGCGATTAAAAAGTAAGGAAAAAGTTTTGGACCTACGTGCAAAATATTTTATTGGGAGAATTTGTTGTTGAAAATGAGTTTTAAGAAAAAATAGTTGTTTTGGTTGTCAAACAGGGTTTTAGTTTTCTTTAGGAGATAATATTTGAATTTGAAACTAAGAATTAACAAGCTCGTTATTCTAACGTCCATCCCATATTCAACCTGATTCTTGTATTTCCTCCAGCACCGACCACCTACTTTCAACACCTCATTTTCCTAATGCACATTGTGCAACATATGCACAATAAGTAAAGTACCCAATCAAAAATTTCCAGCCCCTGGAGGGAGGGGGGGGACAACAACAACAACGAAAAATCACAAATATTGGGTCCACCAGAGTGTCTACATAGAATATATTCCACGAACAAAGGAGTCAGACTTTCTTGGAAAAATAAACAAGAAAGACCATGTGACACCAATTTTGCAGAGATTCACTTACAAAGAAGAAAATAGAGCAATACAACAATAACAACTATATAGATTACACCAAACACCTAAAGTTTGACTCTATAAAGTGCACCTCACACGATAATCCTGCTTAACTTCAAATTAGATAAATAAAGATAATGTCATCAACTTACAATGTCACTATAATGACATTGAATGGCATATCCATTAGCAATGCCGTAAAAAGCACAAGAAATAGAAAAACAAGACAACTTCAAACATAAGATACAAGATCTTACCAAGTCCACCAATGCATCATTCTAGCTGCAGACCTGAAATAAATCATTGTGATGCATTAGCCCATAATTTGAAATAAGTAGCAAATTGGCACTTTTCGCCCTAACCTATACCATTCCACTTTTACCATCATCACTAGTTTATTACCTGCCATGACATATAAATTATCACTAACGTAGCACATTCCACCAGACCTAACTTTTTACTTGAGCTGCTGGCTCAATCATAGGCATTTGTGACACATAAAGAATGCCACAGAACAAAAATTGAACATCAATATTTTACTGCAACTCAACCACATGGAAGCTATACTCTAGGGGTCACTCGTAGCATGTCCTCGAACAATAAACGCATCCCGTTACTATAATGGGATATAAATCAGTACCTATAAGCTCAAAAGCTATGGTTAGACATGAAAAGGCAAACAATCCCAAAGGCTAAAAGCACATATGATTAATGTCAAAACTGGACTAACAACAAAACCTAGCAATTCCTATCAAAGTTAGGTTTCATTACCATTGCCCGTATTTGGTTCTAGTTCACTCCATCTCCTTCTCACATCTTCTCCAACGTGACTAAACCCCTTGATTGACACTAAGCTCTCCACATAGTAGTAAGCACCAAGCACTGGGAATTTAACTCTTCCAACTATCTTGGTTTCCCTGGTTTCCATGTCATATAAGATCAGTTTTCTATGCTTTCTCTGTACAAATTTTCCATTTACACTGTTCACAAAACAATAAAAGTCAACATCTAGTTCAAATGTGAACTTCTTACTCCAATATTCCTTACCAACACTACCGTTTTCCATTGTCCATACTTGATATATTTTCCTAGGCTCTGACGAAATGCGTTCTATCAAAGCAAAAGTTTCCTTCCAATTCATACAATCAAAATCATTCTGCGGCCCCACTAAAGAATCAGGCACCGGAACCAGCTTTAGCACCTCGGTCCTCATGTCGAATGAAGCAATTAAAGATATCCTGTCACTTTCAAAACCATCCTCCGCAAACCAATAAGCAAATCCCTTCACTATCACATCACAAGAATTCTTCAGAAGGCCGAAATTCTGATCAATTTCAACCTCACTCCAAGAATCTAAATTGGCCGACCACACCTCAGACCACGTTCTTCTCAATTTCCCATCTTCATAATTAGAACCAATCTTTACGACCTTGTAATCATCAGAAATTGTATCCCAACCAAATCCTATGGAAAGACAGCTTGGATCTGTATGCCTACCAAGTGGGAGTGTCTTGAACATTCTGGAGGAAGGGTTCCATATCAAGAGACTATCAGCTGAGTTCCCCAGCATACAAATCAAGCCATTGATTGAACCCGCGTAAATTAATTCCGGGCCAAAAGTGTAGGCCCGATCAAGCCCAAGATTGAGATTTTCGTTCGGGGAAGAGGTGAGGAGATCGAGTGACATATGCTTGTTTCGGCGGCGTAGTTCGTGAACAAGAAGGGAATGCCTTGCGGGGTTGGCAATAGAGCGGTCGAGGTGCAAGGAGGCGAAGAAAGAGGACGAGATTAAGGAGCGCCATCGAGTACAGACGCACTTAAATCGTAGGAGGGCTTTCACGGGGAGTCTCGAGAGGATCACCACTATTACATCTTCCGGGAGGCTAGAGTTCTGCATCTTTCGATTTGCACTGCACGGTTTTTCTTTGGGCAAATTACTAAAGCAGTTGTTTAGTAATGTTTTTAAAAATCAGGTTTATACTTTATTTAATCAAAAATCAGGTTTTAATTTTACAATTAATATTAATAATAATATTTTAAATTAAATTCAATATATACACACCCCTACGCCCCAAATTTCAATCCAATTCCCAAACCCTACTCCCCCCCATCTCCTCCTCCCTTCCGTCTTTTTCTCTCTCTTCCATCTCTTTTCTGTCATTTCTTCCCTCCCTCTTCCCTCCATTTGCTGCGAATCGCTGCTGCTGCACATCGCGGCAGCAACGCGAGACACTGTTGCGAATCGCTGCTATGGGTGTGCAGCTCGCAGCGTCGCGACACTGTGTGGCTGTGGCGAGCGGTGGATGTGTCTTGGGTCTTCGATGCGGTGGTGTGTGCGGTGGAGGTCTTCGTCCGGCAGAGAACAAACAGCAGACTGCTTTTTTTGTTGTGAGTTTGCTGTTGGTTTTTGTGGTGCTGTCGATTTTTGTTATTGTTGTGGCGAAGGTTATGTGGTGTTGTGGTGGGGTCGACGGCGGTGGTTGTGTTTTTCTTGGTGTGGTGGTGCAGGCGACGTTGGGATGGTTGTTTTTTGTTGTTATTATGGCAGTGGTTGTGGTGGTGCTGTTCAGGCAGCTACGATGGTGGTGGTTGGTGGTGTTATTGTTGGTGGGTATTTTAGAGATTACGGTCGGCGACGGATGGGACGAAGTGTCTGCGACCAACTATTTGATCGTTCTGTGACATGTGACCAAGTATTATTGGTGTATTGGGATTGGGGGACAGGTGCAGCGGATGGGACAAAGTGTCTGTGACCATCTATTTGGTCCATCTGTGACATGTGACCAAGTATTGGTGATGTACTAGGATTGGGGGACTGGTGTTTGGGTGTATGTGACCAATTATATCGATCTGTAACCAAGCATTGGTGGTGCACTGGGATGGGGGACGGATGTTTGAGTGTATGTGACCATCATATGGTAACTGTGACCTTAAAATTCGTTACTCTGTGACTGAAAATATAATCTATGATCAACAAATATGGAATAATTTTCTCAAATTGTGACCAATTAAAAATTTTTGACCTACAATTTTTTTATCAATGACCAATGAAGTCAATTGTGACCTACAATTTTTTTTTGATTTGTGATCTTGAAATAATCTGTGACCAATTAATTTGATAAGTTTTTACTGAAAATTAATTTTTTAACTAATTAATAAGATATATGTGACTAAATTACATAATTAAATAATTAATTAATAAAAAGTAAAAAGCTGATTTTTGCAATTTTAAAACTTTAGCACCCGATTTTTGGNGTGACCTTAACAATTGTCAGAATCGAAGCAATCACCAGAATTAAGCACGGCCGGAGAACGGTCGTCGGAGTAGTCGTCATAATTAAGCGCGGCTAGAGAACAATAGCCGGAGTAGTCGCCAAAGCAGTGGGGCTGGTGGAGGTGGGGTGGGTTAATTATATTATATTACAGTTAAATATTTAATTTGATATAATAATTATGAAATATAATTANTTAATTCATGAAAAATCTGATTTTTACAATTCTAAACCTTGTGGCCTGATTTTTTTATTTTGGGATAGATAAAGCCTGAGTCGTGAATATTTCCCTTTTTCTTTATCTTTGTCTTTTTTCTTTTTTTTTTTGGGGAAAATTAGGCAAAGTACAGTTCTGATGCTAAAAATTGATTAATACAACTATCATCTTTAAATTTCCTTGACACGTATTTAGTACGGTAAAGTGGGTTAATATTTCCTCATTGTTAAGCACTTGCACATGCGTAATTATTTACTTAATTATTATTACCTCCATTAACATGGATTTATTAATGAGTAATGTTATTCGTAGTGAAGACTGTCGACAGTCGCCCTTCGTGGCATTTACCTGGCACCTATTTCGAATAATCTTAAAAAAGGAAATGTAGCATAATTTAGTAATTCTTTTATTAAAAAAAAAGGAAAATAGGACTTTGGGAATAACATGATTCTTCCCAAATTCATCCCAAAATTTTCTCATCATTCTTCTTCCCAAAGTTCTGGCTGTTCATCGTCAACAAATCCATAATCGCCCAAACACCCAGCTTCACATCCACACATTGATTAAATCCTCTATAGATTCAACCAAATGGTAATGAAGGTTCTGGATCTTGATTCTACATCGTCTATTCTCTTATTCATCGATTAGAAAATTATACCTTTCGAGTTGAGATCTAGAAGATAAAAAACGAAATTTGGTGAGTACGTAAATCAGCCATCCAGTTCGATCCGTGCTTTAAATGTCGCCGTCGATGTTGTAAAGCTCGATCCCTGTTGCTCTATCAATGTATTATTTTCTATTAGTTTTGTAATTTGTATAGTTAATTTCGTGATTTTGACTCACATTAACATCTAATTTAGTATTTCTGTTGAACCCAAGATTTAATGGAATCCAATGTTTACTAACTTATGTCGACTCTATTTTTCTCTTATTATTGGTAATTTTAAATCTGTATTGGTGAATGCTATTAAGATTATAAGATATTAATTGTTTCAATCTGAACATTGGTGTATTACTTTGCTAAGTTTGACTATATTCCTCATGCTGATGAATGTTTTATATGCAAATACTTGTGGTCTATACAACACATGCATGCTACAAATACAATAGTTACTGGTAGTTTCTTACCTTTGTTCAGATTGTAGCAAGTACCCTTTACCATTAGAGAACACTTGAATTATAAGGCAATCAATTATGTTTGTTATAATTTTTATGTATTTCAGATTCTTGTATTTTAATAGTTTGGAAATGCATTTCTGATTATTTTATTTTAATAGATTTAAAAGACTTCAAGATTCTTATTGAGAAAGATAATATGTTTGATACAAGTGAGGAAGAATATGTTGATGAACAAGAGGTACAGAATAACCAGGGCCGGCCTTGAGAATTTAGAGGCCCTAGGCGACTAATTATTATGAGACTCTTCAATATAATCATTTTTTTACAAGTGTAACAAAATTTAAATATTT